ATATTTGATTTTTAAGTGTTATTAAAGTCACCTAATGAAACTGACGAAGAAACAAATGACAAAATGAAATGAAGTTCACATTCATCGATGTATTCCAAATGATCGTTAGACTAAGTAAGGCACAGACTGACCATTATAAGGGTAAAATGATACCCGGGGTCAAACAGCAAAGTTACCACAGCATCACAACCAAGTCAGTAACGGGTAAATCCTCCTCTGTTTGCCAAACAAGCATTGATCCGACGTGGCATACTCCTAATGAGACGTCTAAGGTCATTTTGGTCCAGATTGTCCCATTCCTGTTGCAACGCAGCAGCAAGTTCTTGGACATTGGCAGGACGTTGTTGACGTTGACGTAACCTCTGTCCAAGCATGTCCCAGACATGCTCGATGGGGGAGAGGTCGGGACTCAGTGCTGGCCAAGGTAATGTGGTGATGTTCTGTTGTTGGAGGTAACCTGTAACGATCCTGGCCCTGTGACATCTTGCGTTGTCATCCTGGAAGATGAAACGGCGGCCATGACGTCGTGCGAACGGCACAACATGGACTGTCAAGATGTTGTCCCGGTAGTACTGGCCTGTAACACGCCCTGCAACAACATGTAAAGCCGTTCTTCCAGCAACAGTGATGCCTCCCCACACCATAACAGAACCACCCCCAAATCGATCATGTCTGATGACGTTAACGTCTTGGAAGCGCTCGTTTCGACGACGCCACACCCTCCTACGTCTGTCCAAAAAATCAACAGTGAACCTTGACTCATCTGAAAACATCACATTGCTCCAGCGTCGATTATCCCAGTGTTGACGATCCCTACACCAACGACGTCTTGCCTGAATGTGATGATCTCTCAAACAAGGGATCACGCGAGGACGTCGGGCGCGAAGGTGACCCCTATGCAGTCGATTCCGAATCGTCTGGCCACTCACTCTCACACCAGTTGTCTGTTTGAAGACGAGCGCTGATCTGATTTGCTGTGATGACACGATTTCTCAAGGCCAAGGTACGGATAAATCGATTCTGGGCTTGAGTTGTCGCCCTTGGTCGACCTGAGCGTGGTCTGTCCTGTACAGATTGTGTATCACGGTATCTGGACCATAGCCTGCTTATGACAGACTGAGAAACATTCATCGTCCGCGCCACAACCGCCTGTGTTGTGCCGATCTGTAGCATGCCAAGGGCACGTAACCTTTCATTTTGGGTAAGCCGACGCATATCAAAATTTGTTTTCTGGTCACTAAAACAATTAAACTGATGTTTCCACCCTGGAATTCAATGCCACAATGACTGTAACATTCAAAGTCAGAGTCGTGCAAATCTTGGGTTGGACCCCCATGATGATCCCAAGCATCACCTGCATTCCATGCGGTAGCTATTGGTGCGTTAGGGCGTCACATGTAACTGGAAATGTTTCTTCTGTTAGGTTCTATAGTGACTTTTTTCGTAGTCATTTGCATATTTTAGTATTATGCCCCCAAAATCAAATATCCCCTACTTTTTTTGAATAGTATATTAAATCATTGCAGTACACTGAACCGCCATACTGTCCTACAACAATAGTTCCTTCCTTTGTAACTATATATGTAGTTCCCTATCTTAATGTCAACCTATTCTGATATTATTATAGCACCTAGGTGGCTTTGCCGCCAAACTGTTCTACACAACCAGTTATCTTTCCATGACTAGTGCTCATTTCCGCAACTTACTTAACAGTTGATTCCCGATTCTTCTATGAATTTTGAGATCGCTTCATAAATTTTATATGACATATTCTGAGTGGGGAAGAGGACATTTTGGAGGGTATGTTGAAGTTTGGCATTTTCCATTAAACTTATTACAGGTAGTCTTTTATCTTCCAATTTATTGCATGTAATGAAGACATGATTAACGATCAAAATTTGACAGCATTCGCACTTCACTGGCTTATATTTATGGTCGGTAATTAAATCTTTAGTTCTAAGTCTTGTGATTAACCCACAAATTTTGCGCGATGGGTGATTGATCTCCGTTTTTACAACAAGGTCTTTATTTAATTTGAATCTAAAAGTATTTGCTTTGGCCAACTCAGTTTTCCATTCTGATTTAATTTTACTTTTAACAATGCTAATAAATTCCTGAACGCTGTATTTTAAGTCTTCGGTTTCGCAGAGGCTGAGCAATTTGCGAGCCAGATTGTCTGCGGTCTCGTTTCCTACTATACCGATATGAGATCGTATCCATGCAAATTCCACGGTTCTATTTTTGCTTTGGAGGGAGTTAACATTTGCACCAATGTCGTGTTTTATTGACTCTATACTACTAAGGGAGTCTGACACGATGACTGCTTTTTGAACGGTGCATGCCACAAGCCACTCAAGAGCTGTCGATATTGCCTTTAATTCTGCTGTATAGATGGAACATCCATCTGGTAAACTTTTTGATATATTAACATTGAATTCGGGAATGCTGACACCTAACGCAGTTTTGTTTATATTAGGGTCGTGAGACCCGTCCGTTTATATTTTCACATGCGATGGCCAGTTTTCGTTCAAATGAAATGAAATGAGTTTTAACGTCCTACTGTTCTGCTCCTAACCTGGGCTAATAAAGACGGGCATACATTTTTCGTTCAAGAGCTCCCTCGAGAGCATATGAGCTTGTTGCGGATTTTCTTTTTTCCTAACACTATTATTTAGGCTTGTATTATAGTTTGAATTCAGTAAAGTCCAGGGAGCTTGATAAGAAAATACCCTGTCAGTGATTTGATAGTGGTCTAATCCTAGATCTTTTAATAAATCACTTTCTCTGTGACCGAACGGTTGAGTCTCCCATTTCACATTTGTTTTAAATTTCGTCCTTGATGATTTGTGCACTTGAATGTTGGACAGCTGTCCCCTAGATATTGTAACTTGGCCAGTATCTTAATGTCAGTTCGTTGCGCCTCAATTCGAATGTTATTTCACCTACTTCCTGCAATAGACTTTCCCTTTTTGTACCAAATGAGGCTTTTGTTGCTATCTTTATAGCTTGGTATTGTAAACTGTCTAATTTAGCAAGAGCTGTTTTATTTGCACTCGCAAAAGCAACACAGCCATATATAGTCACATATTGATCTTATCATGGACCTATATATCATGAGCAGGGTGGTTTTATTTGCTCCCCAGGATATGCCCGTCAGGCATCTCATTACATTCAGAACATTCTGTCCTCTTTTAACAACATGTTCAATATGTGGTATGAAAGTCATTTTACGATCAAAGGTCACCCCAATAAGCTTTGCCTGATCTTTTAATTCAATTGTATTGTTCAATTCTAGTTTCATAGACGCCACTTCCCTATGATTCTTACAGAAGAGCATACCTACTGTTTTACGTTCAGATATCCGAAATCCCCAGTCGTTAGACCATTTTGACAATTTGTCTAACGCTTCCTGCATTCTCGTTCTAACCGTACCGTTGTTATTCGCTGCATGCCAGATTGAACTGTCGTCTGCATAAACCGCTACGTCAATAAGTTTCTTAATGTAGTTATTAGACGGAAGGTCATTAATTATGATATTGAAAAGTGTCGGGCTTATAACAGAACCCTGGGGTGTGCCATTTTCCAGTTCATATTTATTGCTTATTGAGAGACCTACATTATCTTGTATTTGCCTATCGTTTAGAAAATCCTCGATCCAGTGGAACATCATCCCTGCCATCCCTTTGTCACGTTTGGGCGATCTTTCCGCAAGAATGTAAACCCAGTTAGTTTTGGGTCCTTCTGCTTTGGACCTAATTTTGTTTCCTGTATGCATATTATATTAATTTTGGATTTGCTAACAAAGTGGTTCAATTCTGTCATACGTGGTCCGAGACCATTAGTATTTATTTGCATTATGGTTAACTTATTGAGTATACCGATGTAAGTTATTGGATTATTTTGATTGGAGGAATTTAATTCTTATTAATGAGCCAGTTAGAAAAACCGTTTGTATTGTTCTTGTTTAGTTTGTCAGTAACTTTAGAATTCTCAGTGATTCCAGTTAAAATCAGAACTACATTGAACACACTGAAAAAAAACTTGTGTTGGATCTCAACACAAGTACTTGTGTGAAAATTATTCTACACAAGTTATGTGTTGTTTTGCATTGCATTAACACAAACTTGTGTTCTTTTTAATGCATTAACACAAATCTTGTGTTTTTTCCATATAATTAACACAAGTAATGTGTACCGTCAACAAATATTTTTTTTTTAAAATTTGAACTCCATACAAAGTCTTAATCCGGGGGTCCACAAGTAAGAGAAAGGTATTTTTTACTCAGACAATATAGCCAGACAGACTTGAATGCTAATTGGTGTTAAGATGTCTGTAGTTAAAATAAAGTTGGGCCCAATAAACTGGTAGATCAAAGGCCTGTTGAGCGCTCATGCCCGGTGTGATTTTAACAATTGACTCCAAATGCGTTGACAAGAAAATAAGTAAAACTGTTATTGAATGTGATTGGTTGATAAAATCAACGTACTATAGGCTACATATTGTCTGCGATATCATCTCGGTGGAAGCGGACATTAAATGAAGTGATTTCACACAATTAATTTAACATTTAACAACGTGCTGAAATGATTTTGGAGCAGTGATATGTTTGACAAATGTAAGCTAATGGTCACATAGAATACAAGACCGCAGGTTTGTGAATATTTATATAAAAAAAATAATACCATGTATGTAATTTAGCATCGATATTGTTTCTCTGTTAAATATTAGTATTTCGTTTCCTTAAAAAAACCTCCAACAATTTAAACCGGAAGTTCATGTTTATAATATGGCGCGGTCAGGAAAAAAATTTCGGCATGTTATTATCAAATCTGTTCAATTTTTCTGAAATCATGCTTAATTAACATTAGTTGTTCGGCGCTACGATGTTGTTCAAATACTTACATTACAGAATCGCATTATGATTAAAGCAGAAACGGTTCGACTTGAACCAGCAGGTAAGAATCTGTTTTGAAATTATATCTTGGGAGGTTGGATTGGCGTTGGAGACCCGATTGGCGGCCATTTTGATTCTTGTTTCATGATTTTTTTTATATTATAACGATTTTGCCAAGAGTAGACATAAACGCGGGCACAGACTAGAAAAAATCTTTTTACACTTTTGTGTTAGTTGAATTGTAATCTAATTTATGTTTAAAAAAACAACCTTAAATCAAATAAGCAGATATTTTCCCCAAACCCTCCGTTCAACCTCCGACTCTGTCACTCTGTGGAATATTATTAGGCCCCTATTTTCCTGATTCAGTCACAGTTAATAAATAATAAATAATGGAACTAGAATCAGTCTGTGGAAGTTTCTCTATAGTTTCATTATTTTTTCCAGTCAGTGATGATATGACTCATTCCACCTTACAGTTACAGCAATTACCGTATTGAGAATTTACCGTTCAAGGACTCCATTTTGGCATTGAATTGGAATTTGAAGAAAAACTGGTAACAATTTCATTTAATTTTTATATTTTCTATTTTTTTTTTTTACCAATGTCCTACAATGATTAGTGTATGTGAACATACAATCCCAAGTAAAGTATTTATATGACACATACATGCAACATAGAGAGAAAAATGACATAAACAAGGCCTTACGTGTACTTGTATTTGAAGAATCAAGTAGTCCAAGCTATGCCTATATGCATACCGGTAATCAACTACGACGACGATTAGCTTTCTTCCGTTTCCACCATTTCCCTGCACACTGTTCCATTCTACTTAGCCTACAGACGCTAGGTTGTTTCGGGAAAAAGGACAGGTAAGGTTAAATTTGATATGAATAATTCGTTTGCTGGTATGGGTATTTAGCAAACGGAGGAAACCGAATGGCCCAGAGAAAAACTGGACAGGCGACTCTACTCCTTGAAATCGAAACCATGCCACTTAACACAATGACAGACCCTGTGATTTCATGTGAATGCATTAACTACTAGACCATTCCCCCCAGCCCCACCCCATATTGAATAAAAGTATGGCTTATTTCAAATATGATATTTACATATAAAGAAAGTAGAGAGACTTCAATCTTACTAGAAAAATACTAGATTACCTGAAATGAAATGGGGTTTAAAGACAACGTCCTACTGTTCAGCTCCGACTGGTCTAATGCAGTGTGCTAAGAGAAAATGTTTGTCCGGGCAGCGACACTATGGCCTACTCTCATAGTGAATTCAAACTGCCAAGAGAACTTTTATGTGTACGCCAATGTGTACATTGGATCTCAGGGGAAACCACTCTGAAAAATCAAGATGAGCTTTCTCGGTCAACCCCAAGAGGTACCCTGTGGCCTCCATGCTAGTATTCCAGCACCTAACTCACTCAGTCACCATGGTCGTCTTCTAATTACTGCGACATTGAAACCATGTGACAAACAAGGATTATAAAAATAGATTTTTACGGCTTAGGTAGTTCCTTGGGATTAAAATTTTTGATACATATAGATACATTAGTTTCAATTTCAAATCACACAGTTTGTATATATGGTATGGTAGCTTTAATGGTAAATTACATATAATGTATTTATTTTTTCAGTTTCAATATTGGATGTATATGCAAATCACCCAGGAAAAGATCATGTAACAAAAGAAATTATAAAAGTAAAAAAATGGAAGAAGAAATGGCTGGAAAAAATGATGATAGAGCAGCTTTTTCTTGGTGGGTAACTATTTAATTCTTATAGAAAAGATTGCTGTTATGCTATTTTGAAATCTAAAATTCAGTTTAGTATAGTAAAACTGTACACGTACATGTATGAGCACAGACAGAATCTTAGTTAGATATGACTGTCTCATCTGTGGCAAAGCAAACCAACACATGAAACAAAACAAATGTAGTTAAATTAACATTTTTTGACTTAATCAAAACTGTCTAGTCAATTTAAGCCAACTAATGTAATACATTGCATATTTTTTTTCAGTTAGCCACCTCGGAAGATCAAGACAGCTGGAAAGGGCTATTGATATTGTGGAAGTGTTTTCTTACAGAGGTTGCTTATCAGACAAAGGCTATGTAAGTACCATGCATATTTGCTTTTTGAATCAGGAACTGGTTCTATACACTTGGTGGGGGGGGGGGGTGGATGGCCGAATGGTTAGCATGTGCGTGCTGTATCATACGGCCTGTCATCCTCGGTTGTACGTGACAAGGAGTAGGGTTGCCTGTTCAACCTCGTGGGTTTTCTCCAGGTCCTACGGTTTCCTCCCACTGCGAAAGACCTATATGACTTCAAAACTATAAGATGGATGCAATGTTACACCCTTTCATAATCATTATTATAAAGCGTTCAAATGCATGAATTTGTAAAATATAATTAATATCATATTGTAATATTGTTTGCAATACTGTATTCACCACTGCCTTAGTGGAGATAATTGGTAAATTAAATGATTATTTTTTCATTTTGTCTTTTTTTCAAGACTTTTGTTCTGGCTTCTGACCCATTGAGGCATAATAATCTACCTGGGTCTGTAACTTGAAAAGACACAATAAGTATTATGCAAAGTTGAAACAAAATAGAGACTCAACGTGTGGAAAAATAAGTTATTTATTTAAAAATTGTGAACCGTAAAGTATATTTATTGCCAACTCAACCACATACTATCATCCAGGGTTTATGGACCTACTTATAGTCCAACCTTCGACGATGGGTTGTATGTTCAATCTAGTTGGAGGTGTACGATTGAACATACAATAATTCAATAACTCACTTCTCTTAGTATAATCTTATATTCTGTAACAATATCTAACAAAGATAATATATACATATAATACTGACCCACAGGATAGGTAACTTAATAAGGAACAGCATCTAAGAAATAACTTATCAGAGACCTGCCCTTCAGTATGTCCTCTGTCTGCCTGTGGTTAACTGCCCTTTTCTTTAATATACAATTTTTAGGACTTTTATACCTTAGCTTTGTTTTTAGTTACAATATAATCCTTAATACCTTACTGGAATAACTTTACAATAGATAATAATTTATGAAACAATGTCTCTCTAATATAATTACAGAGTTTATTTTAATTAGGATTCTGGCTAATCTATAATGGCTCTGGCCTCAAATTAACTATGCTCTAATTCTACCTGGTCATAATACTTGAATATTAAGCCATCAAATTATTTTATAATTTTGAAAATGAAATGAAATGGGGTTTAACATCCTACTGTTTTGCTCATAAACTGGGCTAATGAAGACGGGCATACACCATACAGTGTGCTATGAGGGAAATTTTGCCCGGGCAGTGGCGCTACAGCCTACTCTTATATCGAATTCCAACTGCCAAGGGATCTTTTACATGCACGCCAATGTGTACACAGGACCTCGTTTTTTTTATCCCATCCAAACGACTAGACAGCTGTCCTTGTCAGGTCCTCCGTCCTGTATCACTGACAAGGGGAAGACACGTCGGAAAATCTGGATGAACTTTCTCAGCCAATTCAGGGATCGAACACCCGACCTCCAGGCTAGTGAGCCAGCGTCGTACCCTCTTAGCCATGTGATCTCCTTATAATTTTGAAAAAGAATATAGTGATTGTAAAAGCTAATAAGTTATCAGTTGCATTTTATTTTTGTTTTTAATGTTAAATATCCCTCTCAAACACAATTATATTTTAATTCTCTCCAGAAATTTGTGTAAAATATAGACTGTAAATTAAAACTTTCATCTTTTAACTGTTGAGTCAATTTAAGTCATCTCATACATAGTATGTTTTTTTCCAGTTAACTACATCAGAAAGATAAAAACAGTTGGAAATGGCTATTCATATTGTGGAAACTTTTCTCACAGAGCTTGATAATCAGGCAAAATGTAAGTAACATACATATTTGTATTTTTAATCAGGAAGTAGTTTTATACACTTGCTTGGTAATCTAGTTATTCTTCTTGGGGCAATGCCTAGGACTCAGCTATTTCAAGTACTTGGCATGCTTGATTTTTGCCAATCACATCCATTACAGAAAATAGCAGTAAAATAATGATGGACAATATTTTACTTTTCAAATAGATTTCAATAGATTTTAAAGGGTAATATCCAATTTGTTGTCAATGGAAATAAAATAAGAATGGGTCCAAAAATAATTAGACATTGCCAAGTAAATAGGTGCTGCCAATGATGTAGTAGGGAATCTGGATTTGCAGACAATACATGTATGAACCGGGTGAATAGTTGACCTATTATGAGACTTCAGTCCCAAATCTCAAGACTTTTTTCTGACTTGGCCTGACAAAGACAGCTGTCTAGTCCTTCCGATGAGACGAATATTGGAATGCACGTAAAAGATCCCCTGGCAGTTGGAATTCGATATAAGAATAGATGATAGTGCCGCTGCCCGGGCACACTGTGTGGCATATGCCCGTCATTATTAGCCCAGTATAGGAGCAGAACAGTAGGACGTTAAACCCCATTTCATTTCATTTTTCTGACTTTTAACCCATTTGATTTGAGCATAATAATCTGCCTGGGTCTTTAAGTGGACAAGACACAATAAGCGTTACGCAAAGTTGAAACCAAATAGAGACTCAGTCTCGATGTGGCAAAATAAATTGTTTATTTAAACATTGTATTCTTATTGCCTACTTTTTATTTTTTAGGCTGGAACACCCTTGAAAGAGTATTTGGTGTATGATAACAACAAGAGAACCCAAGCATCAATTTATACTTCTGGGAAAGAATGCATTTGACCCAATTTTTAAATATTTATTTTTTGTTATTAATGTTAAATTTTCTTCCAAAACACAATTAGATTTTAATTCTCTTCAAATATGTATGTATAATATAGCAAGTAAACTGACATATAAATCACTTAGAATTTGGTCGGAAATCATAAAGTATTTAATAGGCATTACTAGAAACCAAATGTAGATCAAATACACCCAGAATTACAAAAAACCTTGACCTACATTAAGGTGACTTTCCCTTGCTTATGAAATGAAATACGTTTTAATATCCTGCTTTTCTGTGTTCTTAGAGTGATTCTACCCTACCCTTATATCAAATATTTCAACTGTCAAGGGTTCTTTAAAGGGTACCCAGGGGGGGCCGAATGGTTAACACGCACACATTTGATCAGAAGGTCTGTCATTGATTCAAATAATTCAATTTTCAAGGGTTCTTCAAAGTGTACGCAGTTGGGTTGGTTTCAATTCTGGGGGGTGGGGGTGGATGGCCGAATGGTTAGCACGTGCATGCTGTATCATACGGCCTCCTGTCATTGAGTCAACTGGCATGGTTTCGAATCCCCGGTTGTAGACAAGGAGTGGGGTCGCCTGTCCAATCTTGTGGGTTTTCTCCGGGACCTCCGGTTTCCTCCCACTGCTAAAGACCCCTACGCGCTAGCGAATTATTGAAATAAAATTAAACCATATGTTAGTCCCAAAATGATCTAGTTTGTGTCGAGTAGACGTTAAACCCCATTTCTCTCTGTCTCTCTCTCTTTTGATTCTGGGCTTGTACCCAATTATCCCTTGCCATATCCAACACTGAAAAGTGGGAACTATGCCGGAAAATCCAGTTGAAATTTCGCGGCCAACGCCTTATGCTCACTGAACCACTGTGGCTTATGACTTGTGATTGTATATAAATCTTTTGTACATATGATATTTTTTTATTTCAATCCTGTAATCTTGATGCTTTGCTTCTTTTATTTATAAAATATTCATTTTGTTTGGGGTTTTTTTAATGAGGAAAAGGCTCTACATCATTTTATTACTCCTGCAAAATAGAGCAATTTTCTTTTGTTAGTTTTCTGTGTATGCTAGTTATTTCTAGATGCCTCACAAATCACTTGTAGTGTGATTTTGTAACATTTTTCAGTTTTTGAAATTGTTTCAATTTAGTGCATAATTAATCTTATTAGTGCTTAGTTTGGATGTTATTAAATTTAGATATATTTGAATTATATATTTTGGGGTATGGGGTAGGGATACTGTGTACATATCTTTATATTCTCAGTTCTTGTTTTGGGGTAAAGAACAATTTAAATAGCTATTTTATATTTTGTGATGGGTAAAGTGTGTGGGGCAAAAAACAATTTAAATAGCTATTTTATATTTTGTGATGGGTAAAGTGGGGGGGGGGGGGGTCATTATATATAACACAATATAATTTGTATTAGAATTGAAGTCTCTGTTTTTCTGTTAACATTTCAAATATCTATTTAGTTTTGATGTATTAATTTACTTTTTCCTATGATTTTATGAATAAATAATAATCTTACAAATTTTTTTTTTGTTTCCTTCTTTTATCAAACTTTACAGGTCTAACAGAGCAAAGAGAGGGGTCCTGCATAGAAAGGTTGCTATGCTGGATATAAATTGGGGAAAAATACAACACAAGTTTTTGATGATGGTTATACACAAGTTTGTATGAAACCACACAAGTTTCAGAAATTTCAACACAAGTTTCAGAAATTTTAACACAAGTTTCAGAAATTTCAACACAAGTTTCAGAAATTTCAACACAAGTTTCAACACAAGTATTGTGTAGATTTCACACAAGTTTCAACACAAGTTTTGTGTTGTTTGATACATTTTAACACAAGTTTTGTGTTGTTTCAACATTTAACACAAGTTTTGTGTTGTTTTAACACAAGTTTGTGTTGTTAAATAGAGACACCTAACTTGTGTTGAATTTAACACAAGTTTGTGTTCTTTCAACACAAGTTTTTTTTCAGTGCAGTTATCCCATTACAACATACACTAGCATTTGTTGAAAATGGTTGCAGTGCTGTTGTTATTAGTAAAGTGTTGTCCGATGCACTTCGTGTTAGAACCAAAACAACTAATTAATATAAAGTCTTATTAAAAACATTAAACGTAGAACAGACACAGAAATGGTATTAGATAATTTGATTATTGGTGGTGTGAACAACAATGACTACATAGAATTGCCACAGTCTTACGTTCGAACATCAATGCCAGTGAACAAGTCAGATGCTCCAAGTCAGCAAGATATAAACGAGTTCAAACATTTGCGTCATATACGGGTGCCTGAATTGAGTGGAGAATTTTGCATTCCAGAAGTAACATTAATGATTGGTAGTAATATGCCCGCAGCTACAATGCCTCTCGAAGTTGCGATAGGTGACATCGGAGAACCGTATGCGATTAAATCTCCTCTCGGTTAGTTATTATATGGACTTCCAGGAAAATTAAGTAATGTAAACAGTTTCAGTGTCAACTTTTGTAAACTTGACTCGCGATTAAAAAAACAAGTCAAGGCTTATTTTGATTTGGAATTTGCTGAGCGCCTTAATGATGTTCAATTGGATTATTCCATTGAAGATAAACGATTTATAGACATTATGGATCAATCCGCAAAACTTGTAGATGGACATTATGAATTAGAATTACCTTTAAGAAATAAAAAATGTAAATGTACCTAATAACAAATTACAAGCTGAAATGTATGCTGAAAAACTTGTTAGTAAATGATAAGCTTCATTGTGAATATACTAAGTTCATGAATGATTTAGAATCCAAAAATTATTCATGATATTAATGGTTTAGATAAACGATTATGGTATATTACCCATCACTCTGTCAAACACCCTAAAACATCTGATAAAGTAAGAATAGTCTTTAATTGTCCAATTGTATATGATAATTTCTCTTTAAATAACCACTTGTTATAAGGTCCAGACCTAAAGGGCCGGTCACACAGGCTTCCGCGAGTTGATCACGAGTGTATCGCGAGGAAGAACTGTCAAACGCGAAGTAAGCGCGGTCACAAGTGAATGACACGTGAATGAAACGTGGTGGACTCGCGAATAACAAGTGCGCACACGCGCGAAAAATTTTACACGCGCACGGAGTCCGATTTTATTTTTGAGCAGCACAAAAATTAGGCGCAACGGCCACCGCGTGTCGCACACGTGGTGTAAACGCTGTACAAACGCGGGCCAAACGCGATAACACGTGGTACACTCGCGGATCACAAGTGGACGACAAGTGGTCACTCGCGGGCAAACGCAAAATTTCTTCGTGTGACTGCGTGTGTAGCACTTGTCATCCACTTGTGATCCGCGTGTCTACAGCGTTCCTACCACCTGTGATAGCGTGTGCTCCACGTGTAAAAGGCTTCCTCAGGGATTGTGTCACGAGTCATCCGCGGGCCATTCGCGTGTTTTCGCGTTGAATCGCGATTGAACCACGACTGATTCGCGTGTCGTCCACGACCCAATCTCGTTTGTACCACTAGTTATTTCTGCTATAAAAAGATCGCGTGTGGGCCATTTTTCATCAGTTGTGATCAAGACGTTGAAGAGGCAACATGGATCCGGCGCATCGTAATGCTTTGGTTATGCTGTTCCAGCAACATCAGAACCAGCTACTTCAGGTTCAGCAAGCCCTGGATGTCAGAAGAAGAGTGAGGAGAAGACAAAGAAGAGTCAGAGCCATATGGGTGCGCCAATGGATCAACCGCAGGCCACAGCTGGGGCTGTATGACAGGCTGATGGTGGAGCTGAGGAACGAGGACCCCCGTGCCTTCAAGAACTTTATGAGAATGCCTCCGGTGATGTATGATGAACTGGTGGAAAGGCTGACACCAACACTGACGAAGGAGACAACCAATTGGCGAGCTCCCTTGGACCCAGGCTTAAAGGTGGCCATCACCTTGAGGCACCTTGCATCAGGCTCGAAATACAGGGAGATGCAGTATGGCTGGCGTGTCCCACACAACACCATAAGCCTCATTGTTCGTGAAGTTTGTGAGGCAATCGTGCATGTATATCGTGAGGAGATGCTGTCACCTCCAGAAACCCCCGAACAGTGGCAACAAATTACAGACGATTGGCTGAACAGGTGGAATTTCCCTCACGTGATTGGAGCTATAGACGGCAAACACATAGCATGCAAGGCCCCTCCCAACTCTGGCTCTGAATTCTACAATTACAAGGGTTTTTTCAGCATTATTCTCTTGGCTGTGGTGACCAGTGATTACAAGTTCTTATGGGTGGACGTGAGTGGCAAGGGGGCCTCATCAGACGCGCATATCTACAATGCCAGTGAGTTTAAAGAAGGCTTACAGAACGGTGACATTCTTGGATTCCCTCAGCCTACTCCCCTCCCAGGGGACACAGAAGATCTACCTTACTTCCTGGTGGGTGACGATGCATTTGGATTGAGAAGCTTTATGATGAAGCCCTTTGGGAACAGACAGCTATCAAGAAAACAAAGAATCTTCAACTACAGATTGTCAAGAGCAAGACGGGTGGTGGAAAATGCCTTTGGCATTCTTGCCAACAGATTCCAGGTGTTACTAACAACAATGATGCACCAACCAGACACGGTTAGGCTCATTGTCAAGGCATGTGTGGTCCTCCACAACCTGATGCGCACGAGGTATCCTGTCATGCAAAACAGACTTGTTGACATTGAACGCCCTGATGGAGCCCTGGTGCCTGGTGAATGGCGTCGAGGAAAGAATCTGGATGACACAAGACCTGAGAACCTACCAGGAACCAACAGAGACTACAAATTGGCCAAGGCTCAGAGGAATCTCATAATGGAATGGTGTTCATCCCCTGCTGGGAGTGTTGCATGGCAAGACAACATGCTCCTTGACTAGTTCTTGTGGAAGTGACAGTGTGGACAAATGATAGTGTTTGGGGGCATTGTGGCAGTATGTGTTTGGGGGGGGGGGGGGGGGCAGCATTTGTGGCAATAAAACTTTGATAAAACTATTATATAATAAAATAAATGAAAAAAATCCTGCAATAAAATAAAGTACATTTCAAATTTGAAAAAAATAAAAGTAAGCTTAGGACCTTTAGTCCTAAACTCACTTTTATTTCTTTTCATTTGAGATGTAATTTTATTTTATTGCAATAATTTTAAAATTTATTATTTTCAATGTATTGTTACATTTGTTGCCATTCAATAATATGGTTATAAAATAAAAATGAAAGATTATTGGAATAAAAATATTTGAAATGACAAAGAAAAGAAGTTACATAAAGTATTTATTCAACTTTTATTTTTGACATTTGAAATACATTTTTGTTGCAATATTCTCCCACTTTCATTTTATTATAATTACAACTTCTAAGTCACATGGTGCAAATACTATTTTCTGATTGACTGAGATGCAACATACAATCCAAGTTCATTGGGCGATGAACAAGGTTTTGCAAACGGACTACTTTTCTACGGAGTAATTTTACTAGTTTTGTTCGCTATAAATCGATAAAATCAAATGAAATTTGTTGAGTTGTAATTACAAGAAATGAAATTAAATTTGTCGAGTTTACGGCGTGCGTTATACAAATAAGTGCACTTTTCCCCGACGTTCATCACGCCGTAAACTCGACAAATTTTAATTTCATTTCTTAAACCATTTCACAAAGTTCAATTTATTCACGAAAAACAATTAGTAACAGTTCAACAATTTTATTATCACGTATCACGTGTATAACAAGTGAAATAAAAGAAAGTCACTGCTAGCAATCCATGCTATGGCAAAAACAAAATACAAAATACATCAGTTCAAGGAATGTCACTGTAGCACCATGCACCACATCCCAACACAACAAAATACAACTGTCAGTGTAACATGAAACCTTCATGCATCCTCATCCTCACTGTAACTGTCACGAGTTCCCTGAGTAGCCACAGACTGAGTGTCACTCTCAACTGCTGTTGGTTCCACGGCTGGTGGTGTTGACAAGGATGGTGGTGCACCCAAAGCTGCAGATGCCAGAATGGGAGGTCGGTGAGTTGCTGGTGACACTGTCGAGAATGGTGGGGTGTTCATACTGTCTTGTGAAACACGGCCGAAGTTGCTCTGCTCCATGTTGAACGACCAATCCCCACCTAGGGCAGTGCTCTGTGCTCTGGACATCGATTCTGAAGATGCTGTGTGTTGACGAGGAGTACTGAGGTTGGGTTGTTGAAGCTCTTGCTGCCCAGGGTACTGCTGCTGCTGTTGGTATCCTCCCCCTCCTCCCCCTACACCATGCTGCCAGGCATAATAGTTGGGCTGTGTCTGGAAGTACTGCTGATGCTGAGGGTACAGTTGATGGTACTGATGATACTGCCCAAAGGAGGCGGCTGTGCAAGTTGGAGGAGCCGAAGTGGAAGCTGAGGGTCTTTCAGATTGAGCCTTTATCTGTTTCAGTATATCCGATATGAGCTCTTTGACATTGTTGAAGTCTTGAAGACTGCAAGACCTGAGAGTCTGGGTGACATAGCTTATGAAGGGTTCACGCTGGCTCTTCTCCCTCTCCTTGTCCTCGAGCATTTTTTCCATCAGCTTTGCAAGGAGTGTTTGGTTGGTCTGAAGATTTTTACGAAGTTCGGGCATCCAGCTCTCCGCCTCGTCCTCCTTCCTCCTCCTCTTCCTGTGCTGGAAACTAGAGTTGACTGATCCGAGCTCTGCTGCCTCCCTCTCGAGGTCTTCGAGCACATTGCCTGACTGTCTCTCCGTCTCAGCTGGGTCATCCAAGGATAGCAGAGGGGGTCTTGCTGTGGACGTGGAGGCAGAACCAGCGGCAGAACCAGTAGTAGAGCCAGCAGCAGCAGTACGTCGGATCTGCATGACAGTGTCAGATTCTTCATCAGGTATGGCAGCTGAAAGAAGGTAAACGTTTGTTAAGTGTTTTGCATTCAAATTTTTCTGAACAATATTAAAGGACTGTTATTAGGGACAAGTGAATTTCTGAATAATCATTACACTAAATCGTAGTAATTATTATGTTTTAAATTTTAAAATTAAATGTACAAAAATGCTTTTGAAAAATGGAAATGTTTGAAATAATTATCAACATATGTACTGACCTTTGTAGAAGGAAATATTATTCAGCACCCACTTGTCCCTGTCGGTGAGAAGCTTGCGCTCCTGGCCACTGGCAACCTTGATCAGCCTGACGTACCAGTCCTTCAAGTTCTTCCACCAGTGCCCGAGGTAGTCAGTCGAGATACCAATTTCTTTTGCTTTAGCTTCCCAGGCTTCTGTCTTTTTCTTGTAGTCACGTTGACTGCGCATCCACAAGTAACTTCTGTCTCGCATCCACTCAACCAGATCCTGTTCTGTGTCAGGTGGCAACTTCCACTCCTTCTTGGGACCTCTTGGCTTTCTCGGCTTCTTGCCCTTGCCCTTGGCATGACCATCAGCCTCTTTCTGCTCCTCCACAGGCTCCTCTCGCACCAGAACTTCGGGTGTGGGGTCATGTGACGCAGGTGACGAAGGTGAGGCAGGGTTCTCCAGTGGCACAAGCTGTGGCTCAGCCTGAGTGGCGACGGGCATAGTGGCAGTGCTCTTAGAAGGACCACTCGTGCTGACTGGAGTGTTTGCAACTGTTGTACAAAATGAAAAGAGAAAATAAAGGTATTTTTAATAAATAGTAAGGAATGTTGAAAAACATACATATCAAATGAACACTTTAGCATAAATAAAATTGAAATAAATAAATTTGAATACTTTCTGACAGCCACGTAAACGAATATTTAAATAAAATAAATTTTGAACACGTCACGTTATACTAGTAACGAGTATTTCCAAATAAAAAATCAAAAACATGTTACATAAATTGTACTTACCATCAGGAAGAAGCTCGTCCTCTTCTCCACTGCCATTGGAACCAGGGACACCAGCAGCGGCAGCAGCAGCATGTACACGAGCCGTCACCTTTATGCCCATCTTCTTGGACTGCCTGTTCTTGCTGCCCTGGGGGGGCTCGGGGGTGCTGCTCTCCACCTCCTCGGTAGCAGTTTCAGGCTCCGAGACTTTTGCCTTCGGCCTGGGCCTTGCTTGCCTCTTCATCTTCTTGGGCGTGGAGTTGCCCTTCTTTGATTTCGGTGCCATGATTTTGATCTTTACTCTACGGAATATTGATCGATACTGATCCAGAACACCGGACGCGGCGGCTTTTATACACGCGGGCGGCAAGCGGAGCACAAGTGATCGGCACGTGATTCACACGCGGAGCACATGTGGAGCACAAGTGATACACACGCGCTGCGTGTGACCCCATTTTCTGACCACAAGCGCTCACACACGGAGGACTCGTGGTGGACACGCGATGCACACGCGCGCGTGTGGTCCACTTGTCATTCGCGTGTCCAGCATGTCTGAGACAAATTGGTTGATTTTCACCGCGTGTAGAAAAAATTTGCAAAATTTATAGCAAAATTACACGTGATCAACTCGCGGAAGCCTGTGTGACCGGCCCATTACTAATAGACTTTTAAGTGTATTGATACGTTGGCGAGAAGAAATATTTGCAGTTATGGCCGACATAGAATCCATGTTCTACCAAGTTAGGGTAGCTAAATCCGATTGTGAAATGTTACGTTATTTATGGTGGCCAAATTGAGATTTGACAAAACCCTTATGTGAATATAGGATGCTTGTACATGTTTTTGGTGCAACCAGTTCCCCTGCATGTGCAAGTAGCCTTAGATAATCAAAATGATTATAATCCTTTTGCCATTGATAGTATACTTAATGGTTTTTATGTCGATGATTTTCTAAAGTCAGTTAGTGATGAAATGACAGGTATTTCACTTATTCGTGATGTTTGCAAACTCTTATCTAAAGGTGGTTTTAGATTAACTAAATGGATAAGTAATAGTCGTAAATTGTTAAATTTTATTCCTGACCAAGATCGTATTGAAGAGTGAGAGATTTTATATTTATGTAATGATTTTCCTGTTAAAAGAGTATTAGGTGTCCAGTGGTGTGTGGAAAGTGATATGTTTGAATTTAAGGTTGAAATTTTAAATTCTTTAGCAACTAGACGCAATATTTTGTCTGTAATGAGTTCTATTTTTGACCCATTTGGTATTGCCTTCCCATTTATTTTAAAGGCTAAAATTATATTTCAAAACTTATGTCGTGCAAAATTAACATGGGATGAACCCATTCCGTCTGAATGGAATATTAAGTGGTGTGAATGACTCAGTCAATTAATTAATGAAATGAAATGGGGTTTAACGTCCTACTGTTCTGCTCCTAACCTGGGCTAATGAAGACGAGCATACGCCATACAGTGTGCTATGAGGGATTTTTTTGCCCGGGCAGCGGCGCTTCAGCCTACTCTTATATATCGAATTCCAGCTGCCAAGGGATCTTTTACGTGCACGCCAATATGTACACGGAACCTCGATTTTTGTCCTTGTCAGGCCCTCAGTCCTGCATCATGGGGTTTAACGTTCTACTGTTCTGCTCCTAACCTGGGCTAATGAAGACGGGCATACGCCATACAGTGTGCTATGAGGGACTTTTTTGCCCGGGCTGCGGCGCTTCAGCCTACTCTTATATATCGAATTCCAGCTGCCAAGGGATCTTTTACGTGCACGCCAATATGTACACGGGATCTCGATTTTTGTCCTTGTCAGGCCCTCGGTCCTGCATCACAGACAAGGGGAAACCACGCCGGAAAATCTGGATGAACTTTCTCGGCCAATGCAGGGATCGAACACCCGACCTCCATGCTAGCGAGCCAGCGTCTTACCCACGTGACTCCCCCCCCCCCAATTAAGTAATTTAGAACAATTAAGAATACAAAGATGTCTTAAGCCTGATTATTTTGGTAACATTGTAAATACTATATTACATCATTTTGCTGATGCAAGTCAGGACGGTTATGGTACTGTGACGTATATACGCCTCTTAAATGAAGTACAAATTGTTTTTTATCGTATTTTTTATATTTTTTATTCCAAGTTACAAAGTTTTTATATTTTGTATTCCAAGTTATAAATTATTCTTATCTAATTATAACCAATTGCTATCTTATATAGTTTATCTAATTTATTTTAAGTTATAAATTGTTTTTATCGTATTGTTTACATTGTTTACATTTACATATAATTGCTCTTATTTATTTTAAGTTATAAATTGTTTTTATCGTATTCTTTATATTTTTTTTACAAGTTATAAATTGTTCTTATCGTATTGTTTTCATTTTTTTATTATGAATAATAAATTATTCATTTTACATTATTTTGGGTTTTAAATTGTTCTGATTATATTGTTTACATGATTATGGGCTATGAACTGTTCTGGACGTATTGTTTACATTATTTATTATAAATTCTTGTTGTCTCATTGATACAGCGCAGAATGTCCTTGAATCCTCGGTCACTATTAATTTGTTATCATAAGTTATACATTGTTCTTATCTTATTATAAACAATATTCAACTTATATTATAAGATATAATATTTTTTTCTGATATATTGTTTATATTATTTATTATAACCAATATGTATTGTTATTATAAGTTATAGATTGCTATTAATTTGTTATAAGTTATAAGTATGTTTCATTGTTTGTTATAAGTTATAAATTGATTTTATCTTATTATGAATTGTTCTTGTTGTATTGTTTACGTTGTTTATTATAAGTTATAAATTGTTCTTATCGTATTGTTTACATTGTTTGTTAGAAGTTATAAATTGTTCTTATCGTAGTATGCATTGCTCTTATCTTATTATGCATTGTTTTTATCGTATTTTTTACATTGTTCTTATCTTATTATGCATTGTTTTTATTTTATTGTTTACATTGTTTATTATGAGTAAGCATTAAACTAGTTATATCTAACTTTGATTGCTATTAATTTGTTCATTTGACTACAGTAGAATAACGATGTGGAAGCGAACAGAACACAATTACTCTGTATGAACTCCGATACTTCTTAATATTTTACTATAAATGATAAGGATGTATTAAAACCATCGATCTTTAATTTTACACAGCGTATTTCATGCTAACAAGTACTCAGATATACGATGTAACATTGAAATTAGGGATAAAAATCACAATATTAATGGTAGATAGATTTAATACGGTTATAAAGAGGCCCATCAAAAGATGTTAGAGAATAATATAGGTGGATTGGGCATGGTCGATCAATTGTGATCTTTGACCTAGTCAGAAGTGGGTTAATCTCAAACATTTACCACTTAGAAGTAATAGGGGTTCCTAAGGAACATGTTGACATAGATATCGTTGATATAATCGAGATGTACAACAAAGTCAAATTTTTTGGTAATGTGAACAGCGCTCCCTGGTAGTGTCGCTAGAAAAATAACTCAAAGAGTTGTGTTGTTTTTGTTTTTTTTTTTGGGGGGGGGGGCGATCATATAACTACTATTTCCACTCATCAAACATTTTGTACTCGATATGTTAATAAAATCTTTGCTAGCTTCAGGATTAAAATATCAGTTTCCTAGCTTCTACATTTGGGTACCACCACTACTAACACGATAGTAACACGTTGATATAAAATAATGAAAACAACGAAGTCCTCGTGTCCTACATTGTTTACCCATTAATGCAAATCTATTTTTATTTGTCTATATTATTATGTTTGTTCATGCGCATGGATACCTATACCCTTTAAAACACGGTGGCTCAGTGAGTAAGACGTTGGCGCGCTAACCTCGAGAGCCCGTTTTCGATCCCTGTGTTAACCGAGAGAGTTCACAGGGATTGGTATGCTCATAAAAAACCATTGACAGTTGGAATACAATAATAAGAGTAGGCGGCTGTAGTGCCGCTGTCTGGCCAAAATGTCCTTCATAGCACACTGCATAGCGTACGGTCGTATTCATTAGCCCAGTCGGTTCAGAAAAGTAGGACGGACGTTAAACCCCATTTCATTTCATTTCTTGTATTCCCCTTTAAAGCATTGTCTTAATAATTCAAATTAGTTAGCTTATTAGTAGCAGATTTGAGATGGATGTTGACAACAACCACATAGCATTTGTGTATTTGGTTGAATTCGATCTGTGAGACACGTTGGCTCAGTGAGTGAGGAACTGGCTCTTGAATAAGGGGATGAGTTGTTTGATCCAGCTTTTGGCAAGGAACAACATCTACTCTTTTGATCTGGACGAAAAACCGGACGCATAGACATGGGAGGGCACGTAAAATAACCCTTCACATTTCTTACACTCATAACACACTGCATGATGGCAGATTGGCGTATACCCTGTCGGTACAGAAGAGCGGGACAGTAAACCGTCTCTCTCTCTCTCTCTCTCTCTCTCTCTCTCTCCCTCTCACACCATATCGCGGCTTAAATGCAATGAAATGAAATGGGAGTTAACGTCCTACTGTTCTGCTACTTTTGAATAAAATAAAATAAAATAATCAAAGTAAAACAAATTGAAATAAAATGAAATGGGGTTTAACGTCCTACTGTTTTGCCTCGAACTGGGCTAATGAAGACGGGCATACGCCGTACAGAGTGCTATGAGGTAAATTTTGCCCGGACAGCGGCACTACGGCCTACTCTTATATCGAATTCCAATTGCCAAGGCATCTTTTACGTGCATTCCTATGTATACACGGGACCTCGGATTTTCGTCTCATCCGAAGGACTAGACAGCTGTCCTTGTCAGGCCCTCCGTTCTGCATCACTGACAAGGGGAACCACGCCGGAAAATCTGGATGACCTTTCTCGGCCAATGCAGGGATCGAACACCCGACCCCCAAGCTAGCGAGTGAGCGTCTTACCCAATTAGCCACGTGATCCCCCTCGCGGCTTAAACAAGAACATAAAACAAATTATATGAGGCCATTAACAAATGCATTTATTTAATTTTCACTACCAGTAAGATGGAGTCCTGGTTCCACAAAGAAGATGCGTAAATGACTGAAATAAAACAAGATTAATTAGTTTTAATTAATTAGTTGTTACAAGTCGTTTTATTGTCGACGACGTCATGTAATATGTAACAAACCCACCGCCATATTTTGTTTAGCTAAATCTAATTAATGAACCTGTTTTAAATCCTACTGAATCCAGGTAGGGAGATTATCTAAAGTTGATATGTTACATAAACAATCTGAGTTCATATTAACCTGGATTAAGACGAAAGATTCAAAACATGCATAGTTGTTTTTAAGATAATTTTGTCTGTTGTTTAATAAATACATAGAGTTATAAATAGAATTTATAGTCTTCGTATAAACATGTCTTGTAACTGATTAATCTTAATTAAAATACAGATGTGACGTCACCCTTTGATGTTGGCGTACCATTATTTCAAATAATCGTACGGGCAACTTGCCAATCGTACCTTGTCAAATATTAGACTCGAGTGACGTATTTCACTGTAAACGCACGTGCGGAGTGTCTGTATTTTAAGATGTTTAATGGTCTCGAGCTGAGACATTGCGTAATATATTGTAAAAACACTCGGACCTGACGGTCCTCTTGTTGTTACAATATATTACTTAATGTCTCGCTCTCGACCATTAAACAATACATAGTACCCGTTGCTAAAAATACTGTTCTGTTCAGATTGACCTAATGAAGACTATGTAGTTTATAACTATATATTTAAACAGGAAGTTGAACGTTAAAGGAATATGTCTTCAGTTATCTGCGACATTGGTTGATTTGATGGATGAAACACCTGTCTACTGGCAAATTACAATACCCCCTCTCTCTCCCTCCCCCTCTCCCTCTCTCTCTCTCTCTCAATACGCTTGATCTGGTTAAACCGAATTGATTTTACATACCTTGTAAGGATACACTGGGGTTGATTATAAAAGTATCCTGAAAAAAAAAATACAAAACCTAAAGATATCTTATAAAAAAACCTATAAGAGACCGTACTATGGATTTTTCTATCCCTATTTGACGATATGAAATGTCAATCAGCTAGATCTCCTGGGAGACGATACGAAATGTCAATCAGCTAGATCTCCTGGGAGACGATACGAAATGTCAATCAGCTTGACCTCCTGGGAGACGATGAACCACCCTCCAACACCTTTATTTAAAATGGCATTTTTATATACATTTATATAATCCTTCATATGTACATAAAGTTAAAGATACATTATGTCAGATTTAGATAAAGAGCTGGACGCATTTGCTATACTAGTTCAAAGATAGATAATGAAAAATTAATATATTGAAAAATCATTTAAACTATTTTATTATTACCGTAGATCGTTCATTATCGTAACAGCATTATTTGACAACCGAGATTTAGCCTCGATTGTCCATTTTTGAGTTAGATTATTGTTAAATCTCGCGGATTGTTAAATCCAGTTAAATCTCGATTATCCGTCTGTCTAGAGGGTTGATTATAGGCTTGTCATGTTAATTTTAAATACTAGTGTATATAACATTTGAAGCCAAAAGAAAGAACTGTAATCGGTAGACCAGTTCCTACATAATACATCGTTAATATATACTATTCAAAAAAAGTAGGGGATATTTGATTTTGGGGGCATAATACTAAAATATGCAAATGACTACGAAAAAAGTCACTATAGAACCTAACAGAAGAAACATTTCCAGTTACATGTGACGCCCAAACGCACCAATAGCTACCGCATGGAATGCAGGTGATGCTTGGGATCATCATGGGGGTCCAACCCAAGATTTGCACGACTCTGACTTTGAATGTTACAGTCATTGTGGCATTGAATTCCAGGGTGGAAACATCAGTTTAATTGTTTTAGTGACCAAAAAACAAATTTTGATATGCGTCGGCTTACCCAAAATGAAAGGTTACGTGCCCTTGGCATGCTACAGATCGGCACAACACAGGCGGTTGTGGCGCGAACGATGAATGTTTCTCAGTCTGTCATAAGCAGGCTATGGTCCAGATACCGTGATACACAATCTGTACAGGACAGACCACGCTCAGGTCGACCAAGGGCGACAAATCAAGCCCAGGATCGATTTATCCGTACCTTGGCCTTGAGAAATCGTGTCATCACAGCAAATCAGATCAGCGCTCGTCTTCAAACAGACACTGGTGTGAGAGTGAGTGGCCAGACGATTCGGAATCGACTGCATAGGGGTCACCTTCGCGCCCGACGTCCTCGCGTGATCCCTTGTTTGAGAGATCATCACATTCAGGCAAGACGTCGTTGGTGTAGGGATCGTCAACACTGGGATAATCGACGCTGGAGCAATGTGATGTTTTCAGATGAGTCAAGGTTCACTGTTGATTTTTTGGACAGACGTAGGAGGGTGTGGCGTCGTCGAAACGAGCGCTTCCAAGACGTTAACGTCATCAGACATGATCGATTTGGGGGTGGTTCTGTTATGGTGTGGGGAGGCATCACTGTTGCTGGAAGAACGGCTTAACATGTTGTTGCAGGGTTGTGTTACAGGCCAGTACTACCGGGACAACATCTTGGCAGTCCATGTTGTGCCGTTCGCACGACGTCATGGCCGCCGTTTCATCTTCCAGGATGACAACGCAAGATGTCACAGGGCCAGGATCGTTACAGGTTACCTCCAACAACAGAACATCACCACATTACCTTGGCCAGCACTGAGTCCCGACCTCTCCCCCATCGAGCATGTCTGGGACATGCTTGGACAGAGGTTACGTCAACGTCAACAACGTCCTGCCAATGTCCAAGAACTTGCTGCTGCGTTGCAACAGGAATGGGATAATCTGGACCAAAATGACCTTAGACGTCTCATTAGGAGTATGCCACGTCGGATCAATGCTTGTTTGGCAAACAGAGGAGGATTTACCCGTTACTGACTTGGTTGTGATGCTGTGGTAACTTTGCTGTTTGACCCCGGGTATCATTTTACCCTTATAATGGTCAGTCTGTGCCTTACTTAGTCTAACGATCATTTGGAATAAATCGATGAATGTGAACTTCATTTCATTTTGTCATTTGTTTCTTCGTCAGTTTCATTAGGTGACTTTAATAACACTTAAAAATCAAATATCCCCTACTTTTTTTGAATAGTATATCTTACATAACGGTAGTTTATATAACATTTGAAGCCAGAAGAAAGTCCTGTAATCGGTAGATCAGTTCCTATATAATACATCGTTAAATGAACCAGTCTATAATATCATGTATAATATATTAAACTTTAAATAAACCAGTCTATAATAGCATGTATAATATATTGGACTTTAAATGAACCCGTCTATATCATGTATAATAGATTGGACTTTAAATTTGTAATAAACAAAAAACTACATTACCTGTACAAAGGCCATCGCACACCTCTGTTGCATACGATATGTCACAGCCGTATATTGAACTGTTGCCATCTGAAATAAAATAAAATGGGGTTCATGATGAGTCAAGTATTAAGTAGGTGTCACATGCACAGAGCGAGATTTTCTTACACGTTTAAAGATTTTAATGGATTAACTTTTCTGTTCTTGGTGTTTAAGTTCTATTTTCATTTTATTATCTTAGCGCGTGCGCAGGGGTCTATTATGTGGGAGGAAACCGGAGTAAATGGAGTAAACCCAACAGGTTGAGAAAGCGCCCCCTATTCCCAAGCATCCTTGTCAGGCACCCCGTCCTGCACCACTGACAAGGGGAAACCACGTCAGAAAATCCCAATGAACTTACTCGGCCAATGCAGGGATCGAATACGCGACCTCCAGTCTAGCGCGTCAGCGTCTTAACCACCTAGCCGTGCCTCTGGCCAACTAGAGGTCGAAGCACGAGACTCTAGACCACTAGGCCACCCCGCTACATACTTTTCTACTCCACGAAGACGTGCAGTGCTAATGAGACATACACATGCGCTGACGTCAATAATAACTTCGGGCGTGATGTATTATATACCAATGACCAGCGGGAAGAGACAAATGATTTCTGTTTTTGAAATTCAGAATTGATCAACGATTATTATTTTTTAAATGATATCATATTTACATTCACAACATCCTCTTGTACAATTACCAACATAACCACAGTCAGAGTCATCATTACACACATAGATACTCCCAACTGAAATTACAATAATATTATTTCAATCAGGTCAGATTACCGTACTTCATGTATGTTTATCTCCACTCCCTTCGTCCAAAAATCATAGATATTCACCGAAACTTGGCACACAATGGAAATATAAACTCTCTTCTTCAATGATATACGAAAACAAAAATTGCCATGGGAAAGTGGAGAATTTCTATAAATATAAGAAATTACCGGTCTATATCCATCTTACTCTTTCTAGCCCAAACCTTAAACGCAGTTGCTCCCATTAACCATGAATATGAGGCCCTATGCTTCTTCCGAAAAACGTCACCGCCAAGAACAAGTAAAACATGAATAAGACGAGAAGAGCTTTGGGACTAGGCCCTGGACGTGCAGTATTTCTTACCATAACACGACTCTCCCCTGTTGCATACACCAAAAAAGTAGGAGAAAGAAGGGCCATGCCAAATACAATAGTTGTCTATACATCTTATTCCTGTAAGTGAAAAACATATCTATATTGATATTATACAAGCGGCGGTCATGCAAAATACACCTACATTTGGCAATAGAATGGACGGGGAACTCGAACATAGGGCTCATGCGCTAATTGTTCTAATGCTTCACATGGAATTAAGTCAATAAAACATGTAGCCGTTATCGCATTCAAAACACTTTCGGCAAAGGGGGCAACTCCGAAACGAACCGTTGCGGAAGCTTCATATAGATAGGGTTTGTCCTCTTATGAACACAGCGCAAAATAAGTCTGAGCAAGATCGGTTAAAAACTATGGCCATTATCACATTCACGATGTGTTCAGGTAAAGGGAAATAACTCTGGAAGAACACGTCTCGACACACTTATTATCGATAAGGTTTGTGTCGGTCAACTAGCTTAGAGTCTGTTCTCAATACGAAATAAATGAAATGAAATGGAGTTTAACGTCCTACTGTTCTGCTCCAAACTGGACTAATGAAGACGGCCATATGGAAATTTTGCACTGACAGCGGCACTACGGTCTACTCTTATATCGAATTCCAATTGTCAAGGGATCTTTTACGTGCATTTCAATGTATACACGGGACCTCGTTTTTTCTTCTCATCCGAACGACTAGACAGCTGTCCTTGTCAGACCCTTCATCCTGCATCACTGACAAGGAGGAATCACGCCGGACAATAATTGTAGGCAGACCGTGTAAGTTTAGTACAGTCCCACCGTTCTACTGCACCATATGTTCTAATGAGGACGGGCATATGCCATACAGTATAAGGTTAACACATCCAAGTATACGTTGTTCGGGGTCATTATCTCCAAGTGATGGACAAGTTCTGGAATCCAGCCAAAAACTTGTTGCACCCACCTCCGTCCAGGCAGCCTATAAATGGACAGGATCCTCTTGGTCCGTCACATGTCACGTAGTCGTTACATCGATTCCGAGCGCCTTCCTCTGGTACAACTAAAAAGAGACACACACAGTTACATCGACGATGGTAAAATACAAAATCATAGTGATATTCTGCTCTAAGGACCAGTTTCCGGGCTGATAAAGGGGATGTCACGATACATCGACGATGGTAAAATACAAAATCATAGTGATATTCCGTTGTAAGGACCAGTTTCCTGGCTGCTAAACCGGATGTCGCGATACCTCGACGATGGTAAATACAAAAATACAGCGATATTCCGTTGTAAGGACCAGTTTCCGGGCTGCTAAAATACAAAAGTGCAGTGATATTCCGCTATAAAAGACTAGTGTCGGGGTTGATATACGGCATATCCCTATACATCCACGATTGTAAAATACAGAAGTGCTGAATTGTGGAGGTTTTTACCAAGCTATGAAGTTAACTCACATCTAAAAGAGGTACATGTTTCATTCTTCTGACAGTTGCTACATCTTTCAGCTGTAGAAATAAAATATACAGAAATATGAAAAGGACAAACTAGAATGAAGAATATGCAAAACAAATTAAGCATGCCAAGGTTCGTGTAGTTCGTATTCAAATTGGCATTTCTAGAAGAACATCGCACTCAGGAGGCGAACAGGTAGAATAAGCATACCGAGTTGCATGTCTTTCGTACCCGAAATGGAACACATTTTTAGAGGTAGTCGTAACCATATAACGAAGTGGACAAAAGCATACCAAGTTTCATGTTGTTAGTTCGCGAATTGACAGAGCCATAGACTCTTATCAAAGATGCTTCTCCTATAATGAATTATAAAAACGTCACAGTCAGAAGACGAACAATTAAAAAATAAGTCAAGTTTCATGTCGTTCGTATTCATATTGGGACAGAGCCTTAATCTTTCCGGGAAGACTGTCTGAGAAGGAAAACAAGACGAACGAGATGAGTGGGGCACTTGATTACTAATTCTCTCACTCAATTATCAATGCTATACCATGTTCTAGTCTATAGGGACTTGTGTCAAAACACAGCGCGTAGTATTTTAGAATATGTACGTATTAAACAGTTCGGAGTTGCAAAACCGCATTACGGGATGGGAACTGACTGGGTGACCGCATTACAAGATGCGGGCTGACTGGGATGACCGCATTACAGGATGGGGGCTGACCGCATTATAGGGTGGGGACTGACTGGGTTCCAGCCATGGGCCACCCATATTAAAGGGGGCCTCAAATTAGTTCTAAAGAACATTTTGTAGCACAAATAAATATGTCATTTATTATGTTGTATGAGCTTGTGTCAAATAAACTTGTCTACCATACTGACATACAAATTGTATTTGTGTGAGAGTCACGGACAATGAGCCGACTATGTCCCGTTTTAGCTGCTGATGCAAGGGACACATAGACATTTACTGCCATATGTGTGAGTGTGACTGATAATGAGCCCAATATGTGTCACCCTTTTAACTGCTGATACATGTACTAGTACCAACATAATTATTATTAGTATTATTATTGTTTTAGCCTACTTACGAATTGAACAGTTTGGAGTGGTACCAAAATAATACCCTGGACATTCACAGGCACCATTGATGCATATGGCACCGCTAGAACAAGTCACATTTCCACATAAACATTTACCCTTTCTACACGTGGCATCAAACGAACATCTGACGCCTCTACAGGGATCTGAAATTAAAAATCAGATACATTTATTGTCATCTCAATAATGTTTCATTCTATTCACTGGTCAATCCTAATCATCTGGACCTGCACTCAAACTGAAATACCAGATATGTCAAGTATAAAACTGCTACATGTACCAGAAACTGGTCTTGATGTTATCGTAACCATCTTCACCTTACTGCAACATGTGCCAGAAACTGGTCTTGATGTTATCGTAACCATTTTCACCTTACTGCAACATGTACCAGAAAATGGTCTTGATGTTATCGTAACCATCTTCACCTTTCGCCAACATGTACCAGAAACTGGCCTTGATCATAACCATCTTCACCTTATACTAAAATGTCGAAACCGGTCACATGGTGCACAATTGTGGAGAAACAAATCGAGCCAAGATTCAAGTGGAACGTAGTTGGAAGAGCCTTAGGCTTTGTTTTGTACCCAACCCCCTCTGGTTCCAAATAGTTTTAGAAATCATAATTTAGGCATATATTAAATGACATTTAACCCAAAGCGCAGAATCATTTTAGACCCAACATTCCATTTTCTGTCTTATATACAACAGTCAGAGCTGCTTACAAGGGAAATAGATCAGACTCGGATAACCTCGAGTAAATGGTCACAGGCGCATTCACCAACACAATTATTTTATTTCGAAGGCATCAACTCCCAAAATATTTTAATACCACATTAAATTTATAAATGTCAAGACGAATAGAAAGTAATTTTAATCATTACAATATAACCAACTCTAACAAGATACCATTACAATATAACCAACTCTAACACGATACCATGGCTATATAACCAACTCTAACACGATACCATTGCAATATAACCGAAGACTAACACGATACCATTACAATATTATAACCAACTCTAACAGGATACCATTACAATATAGCCAACTCTAACAGGATACCAGTACAATATAATCAACTCTAACAATATACCATTACAATATAACCACCTCTAACAATATACCATTACAATATAACCAACTATTACAAGAAACCTTACAATATAACCAACTCTAGCAGGATACCATTACAATATAACCAACTCTAACACGATACAATTACAATATAACCAACTCTAACATGATACCATTACAATATAACCAACTCTAACAAGATACCACTACAATATAAACAACTCTTACAATGTACCATTACAATATAACAAACTCTAACACGATACCATTACAATATAACCAACTCTAACAGGATACCATTACAATATAACCAACTCTAACAAGAACCATTACAATATAACCAACTCTAATAAGATAGAAATGCGTTATCCTTCAGTTGTTGACTAGTGTTTGTTAGTTGATAATGATGATGGCATGTTATCTATAGAAAGTATACTAAACACAGTTTGATTAATAACGGTATAGTACGACCTGAATAGTAAAATATTAAACACAGTTTGACTAATAACAGTATAGTACGACCTGAATAGTAAAATGTTAAATACGGTTTTATTGATAATAATCAATAGTAACATAAATAGTGCGACGTGAAACGTAACACCATCACTAACAACATCAATAATGCGGTCCTAACAATAAAACAAATGAAATGAAATGGGGTTTAACGTCCTACTGTTTTGCTCCTATGCTGGCCTAATGAAGATGGGGATACGCCATACAGTGTGCTAAGGGATCTTTTACGTGCAATCCAATGTATACACGAGACCTCGGTTTTTCGTCTCATCCGAAGGACTAGACAGCTGCCCTTGTCAGGCCCTCCGTCCTGCAAACAATAAAACCATCCCTAACAACATTAATAATGCGGTCCTAACAATAAAACAAACACTAGCAACATAAATAGTGTGGTCTGAATAGTACGATAACAACATTAATAGGCCAAAGTGGCAATACAATTAAATAACTTACGTTAGAATTGATCGACTGCAATACTTGTTAGACCAACCAATAACGTATGTTTTGTACCGAGATCAAGTTTCATTACGTGTGGTCTGAAAGTCGGTATTTACCTTTATTATGGATTTAAATGATACAATGGACTAGAAGAAGTAACTACATCCTATATCCTGGTCTTTTCAAAAAGTCTTATCAAGTAACAAAGTTTAACTAATCAAATACACGATCCTGGTGTTTAACTGAATCGTGGTGTTAACCCATGACCCGGGGTTTCAAATGATAAACTAAAAAATTGAAACCTTAAAAGTATTGATTTATGAAGATATCACTAACACTGAATGCATGCAATGGAGATATTGTAAAACACCACATTACATGATGCTGGTGGGGTGGATATCTAGAATAACACATAAGTAATTAACTTTACCTGGTGGTGATGGATATCTAGAGTAAAGAGTAATTAAAGTTGCAATTTCATATTTTTACGTTATATTTTTAACATTTATTAAAATAAAGCCTTAAAATAGATGGTATCTATAAAATAGATGGTATCTATAAAATAGATGGTATCTATAAACAGTCCCACTTTGTTATCATTTTCCTCTTCAAATTCAAACGTTTGAGGATAGCTACTCCATGGTGGAGAATAGAAAACAAGGGAGGTAATTGGGAGGTAATTGTGTTATTATTTCCGGTGTAAATGAGTTTTAAGTGTGAGGATGACACCTATGATCGTATAATAGTAAGTTGACAATCTATTGAGCAAAAGACATAGAAATAATTATGTTTTGACTTTCTTAGAAAATATGAAATTGTAACTTTAACATTACCTGGTGGTGGATATCTATAGTAAGAAGTAATTTACATTACCTGGTGGTGGATATTTAGTGTAGAGGTAACTGTAAGGACGATGATCTCCCGTGGAGACTATAACCACCATAATAACTAGTAGAATATTGGTTATTACAAGACGCATGACGATTAACTTGTTTTATACGAATATAATAAACTATTAAATATAGCGTCCAACAATCGTCTATATAAACAATATTATATTGAAACAGGTGTTGGCTACTTTATAAAATGATATATTATTGCAATATGTCATTATCAATAGTGCACAATAACACGTGTAAAATAGCACGTCGTCGAAAATAAGATTACCTTTTCGCACCTATACAATCATTCCTCAGGAACCAACCCCAACCCTATACTATGATAGAGGCGATGGCGATCGCGGTGGGGTGGGGTGATCTCATGATTATGACACCGTGAGTATGGTAGCAATGAGGGCGACACATTAGTGTTATGTTAAACATACAATCCCACGAACGTATTTATGGGTTAAAGATACAGTCCCACGAACGTATTTGTAGGGCAGTTATTTCCAATAACAGAATAGCATATATATGGAAAGTAAAGACCTTCAATCGTGTTAGAAAACAAAATTTTGGGACTAACATATGGTTCAATATTATTTCATTAATTGGTTTGCGCGTAGCGGTCTTTAGCCGTGAGAGGACCCGGAGAAAACCCACGAGGCAGGACAGGCGACTCTACTCCTTGCAACGTACAGTCGTGGGATCGAAACCACTCTAACCCTAACCCTGACTCAATGACAGACCCTGTTGTACAACGCGCATGCGCTAACCATTCGGTCATCCACCCCCCCCCCTTACGTCAATTGGAACGGCGGGTTAAGAAGTTGACAGGATAATTCACGAGTTTATTTAGGTTTCAATACTGATGGTAAATGGACAGCAACTAACGACAAATATAAACTGAAATTGTATTCTCTCCCATTTAGGTCACGCGACGAACAAGGAGACTTAAAATAGATTCTTGCTGCATGGGATAATGTTCTTGCAATTAGAATATTTAACAGAGTTTTGAATCAAACTTTTGATAAATAAATTGGATTGAATATGTGTTTTGCCTACACAGTTTATATCCAGGAGATCCTCTTTAAATGAAATGAAATGAAATGTTGTTTAACTTCCTACTGTTCTGCTCCTATGCTTAGGCTAATAAAGACGAGCATACGCCATACAGTGTGCCTACTCTTACATCGAATTCCAACTGCCAAGGGATCTTTTACATGCATTCCAATGTATACACGGGACCTCGGTTTTTCGTCTCACCCGAAGGACTAGACAGCTGTCCTTGCCAGGCCCTTCGTCCTGCATCATTGAGAAGGGGGACCACGCCGGAAAATCTGGATAAACTTTCTCGGCCAATGCAGGGATCGAACACCCGACCTCCAGGCTAGCGGACCAGCGTCTTACCCACTTAGCCACGTGATTCCCCACCCTCTTTAAAGCCTCTTTAAAGTCGCTGGTCTTCGTTTGAGGGGGTGTCGTTTAGTCTAGTCGTTTGACAACGAGTTACAATTCCTTTCGTGTACGCAAGGTTCTCTCGTGTACGCAACAAGGGATAGGGTTTTCTCGAGGGTCCTCTAGTCCCCAACCACCCCCCGCCCCGCCCCCACTGCTAAAGACCCCATATGTTAGTCCTAAAATTAACTAGTTTGTGTGTCGAATGTGTGTCGAATATTCATCGTTGGAAACTTTAGCAGCTATAATAATATGGACGTATTGTGCTGTTAGACATTAACAACCAATTCTTCTTCAAGTTAAATAATCAAATTGTTACAAGGACGTATAAGTACTGTTAGCACGTGCCATAAATAGGCCAAATATGGTAATTCTCGTTAATAATAATATTGGTGATTTATTATATTCTCACTTCAACTTAAATCTACACGTGAAAAACATTTATATACATAAGATTAATTCTTCTTTCAACTTAATACACAACATTAGAAGCGGTCGATCAAATGATTAATATATCGCTGATAGAACAGACCGAACATTTATTACAATATATGAAACCTACATTAATATTGTTTAAATCTTATGCTAAATAAAGTGTCTTTCAGCAAATTATTGTATGGAGTCATTTCGAATTATATTATTTAGACCAGTAGCAATCGTGAAGCTAAACGTTCTACTGAAAGGATAATCAGTAGTACATTAAACCCTATTTCATTTCATTTCCTGGTTTGTTACGTTGATTCCAGAATGGTATCTGAAAGGATAAGCAGTAGGACATTAAACCCTATTTCATTTCATTTCATTTCCTGGTTTGTTACGTTGATTACAGAATTATATTTGATGGAATTCACAGAAAATGTCTCTGGTACAAACTGATGAGCTTGTTTATGAAGACCAGGGGCCTATTTCACGAAATTTTAACTAAGATAAAATCCAAATTTTAGTTATTTGATTGGATAATATTAGGTTGGTTTTAGTGCTTTGCCAATCAAATTTGAAGTATTTACTAAAATTTGGATTTTATTTTTAGTTAAGATTTCGTGAAACAGGGCCCAGGTTTTAGGACATTAGCGGATTCGATCTGGTGTACATATAACGGGGGTACATATTTGACAGATGAATTGTCAGTCTATAGTGGGGTAAATCAAGGATGGATGAATTGTCAGCGTTATAACTGTGTATTCCAGGGCTGTGACCTCTCTCCATCTTTATTTCTACCTTTATTAACGAATAAGTTGATGACAGGGCAGTGATGAAATAGAATTGAATATCTCGTCTACACAAAACGTCAGTAAACCCGCGCTTATATTTGTACGGTTCCGTGTGTAATGTTACGCGGGGGGGGGTCGATTGCCAACGTATTCTTAAACTTGCACACCAATGCGTTAAAAATAGGAACGGGGGAGGGGGTAATTTAACGCCATCGGTCATTGAGTCAAATGGTATGGTTTTGATCGCCCGCTTGTACGTAGAGCCACATGTCCAACCTCGTGGGTTAACCCCGTGTCCTCCGGTTTCCTTCCACAGCAAAAGACCCCTACGCGCAAGCGAATTATTGAAATACAGTTGAACCATATGTTAATCCTGAAATGACCTAATTAGGTCTTGCTGTGTCACTCGCTTAATGAGTTAGAGCCATCGCGCCATAACGTCATTATGACATCATTAATATATATATATATAACTGGTTTTACGCCACCAGTTTTGTAACAGTTGAATGTGAGAGAGAAATCTCTGAGCCGTTTATTTTTTTTTTATCTTTTACTAGTTTTTAATATTTGTTTACCTTTACAACTGAGAAATCGTTTACTCTGCACAGTTAATTACTTGATTTTAATTATATTCCCTTTACTAGTATTAAATATTTAATAATGTCTAATCGTTTTGTTTTAAATTACCATTCAAACAACTCAGTGGAGTATACACAACTGATTTACTGATTAGATACATCTTCTGTCTAATTGGTTCCATTTCAGTAAGTGTACGTTTTGGTTTATTTCAATTCATTAAGTTAGCCCATGAAGCGATAAAGAGATTGTATTTAAGCATGCAGTATCAATAAATTAAAACATGACCATATTTCTACGGTAGCGATGAAACACCTGTGGTTTATTTCAATTCATTAAGTTAGCCCATGAAGCGATGAAGAGATTGTATTTAAGCATGCAGTATCAATAAATTAAAAAATGATCATATTTCTACGGTAGCGATGAAACACCTGTGGAAATCCTTTCTCCACGGTGGAAACCTTTTATCCGCGGTGGAAACCTTTTTCTCCACAGTGAAAAAAAAGTTTCCACCGTGGAGAAAAGGTTTTCTCAGCGGAGAACAGGTTTTACAATAGTCTTCATAGCGAAAATTCGTTCATTGTATTGCATAGTGAACCTTTCTCATAATATGAGGTGAATTACTAGAAAAAAATATAAATTAATGAATGACACAAATAGATGACTGTAAAGTCCCCCCCCCCCACGAAAACTGACACTGTGTTAAACGAAATAGACACCTGTTTAAATCACGTTAGCTCATGTTAAAGTCGAGTTTTGATAATAGGCTAGGAGCTGATGTTCTTCTTAACAAAATCTATGTTGTAAGGCCCTAGTTCGCTAACTGCAGCAAAGTGTTGAGTCTTATTTCATGTCATTATTACTGCAACAATAAAAGGTACCCGCCACCCGCCCTCCAAAAAGACCCCCACCCCCACCCCCCCAAAAAAAAAAAAAAAAAAAAAAAAAAAACACAGCCAAACATAACATCTCGTTAGTTAATTGATCTTCAATTATTCTGGAATAATATATCAACCATATCAATAATAATGGTTGCCTGGAATAAACTAGAATCAATTTTAATTGATCAGATGTTTGGAACTATATAGTGCTTTTCAGCCTTTGTAACTAAGGGCCTGTTTATATGAAAAGGGCTAACCTCGTTGACGAGCCAGCTCGCATAAACGAGCCCCCGATAGTTACGTCATTCTATTAAAATACAGTTTGATTTACATAAAGTATTTATAAAGAAAGCGGGCTGGCCCTTTTAACCGAGTTCACCGTTCTTCAGACCGAGAAGCTCGGTTAGAAGAGCCATCCCGCCGTTCATATAAATAGATTTCCGAGCTCAAAAACGGGTCGACGCGTGCGCAGAGAGCATTTAAAGAAAGCATGGCGGTGGCCAAGTTTAGTATCTGACTGCGGCATTGTATCCCACCCCACCCCTCCTCAACACGTACAAAAATAAAATTGTTTTACAAAGGTTTAATGGCAATCTTTTATAGATCTATAATTCGGAATTTTAGTACATCCGGGCAAAACTGAAGGAAATGTTATTGGTAGGGAGTTACTTTTTAGCTTTCGGTTTATACTGTAATTGGCAAATACCTTGCCATCATGTACACTACCTGGCCACCTGCAGTCCACGTCGATAAATAATCCTGAACTGTCACAAACAGCTTGCACATTGAGAGAGAAAAGGTTTTTGTAACAAAAATAATCTTGGTAATTTTCAACTGGGCGCTTAATCGCAATATGTGTTCCGTCAACACAACCAAATGCCTGGGTCATTCCAAATTTAACCTCAAATGCTGCAGTTTTTGCCTGCATTCCGAACACTTATTGGTAGTTTTAAGTATACTTTGCTTAGTTCAAATGTAATAGCTCTACAAACATGCACTATAATTGTGGAAATTGGGCTAATTG